CCTGTGAAAATTTGCAAAACAAGTATTTTCTTTATAGCACAAGGAAAACATAGTAAAATACTATTAGGTCTAGAAGGCTCAGAGAATGGAGGAATTACTTCTAATAATTCAGTGTCTCCATTATAGCACAGTCTTCATTATAGGATTTAGCAATAAAAAACCCAAAACACAGTAATTTAGGGTTTTATGAATCCTAAATATAAACAACTATACTGAAGACACTATTAACCCTATAAAATACTTTGTTGAATGTTTTTATGCACCTATTTTTGCGTACCTTATGCATGTCATTTGCTGTTGCAAAGTTTTCTAGAAGATTACATAGTAGTGAAAAGTCATTTATTGTGTTCCACATTTTTATGGTTTCATGACACAGCAGACTGATTTCAGGTCCAGCTTTAGTTACATGTAGCACTGGAACTCTTTTAAAAGACTCACTGGTGGAACATTTACAAATGTATTATTTTCATCAAATAGCTTAACACAGAATGACTTACTAAAAAGGTATGGTAATTTTTATGTAGTCAAAATAATCAAAAATATAATTAAAGTTCAAAATACATTATTTGAAGGCTGTTTACACCTTTTAGCCTTGAATAATAATTCAGAATAGCTACATATTTAACACAGCACAAGACCTGTTAAATTATCAGTGGAAACCTTCTTTACTAGAAGAAATACACAAACTGTTACATATGTACTTTGTTACATTCTTATTTAGCAACTACAAGACAACTTTCTGAACTAGGAGTTCAGAAAACACATAGTTTTCTTAAAAACTTAACTTTCTTAAAAACTTAAGAGTTTTGAGATGAGAGAAAAGAAAAACAAATGTGGAAAAATTATACATTAGTATACTTTTCTATTAAAACTAATATTAAAATAAATTATTTGATCCACACATATAACATTCTCTTTAGTAGTGGACACCAGGTTTTAAGTATTAGCTAAATGGACAGATTTACTGAATAATTTCTTCAAAATCACAAAAAGAAAATGGTATAGATGGCTGATACAAATGCTACTTGTATATTAAGTTTGATCAGACCAGTGGAAGGTTAAAAGTTCTCCATATAAATAATACCATTAATGATAAAAGATAGACTACATAACACAGGAAATCTAAATAATGATAGTCACTGATAAAGTACTCATAGACTCTAATTAGATTATTTTCCAAGTAAGATGATTTTTAGGAGTACCTACAATCTATAAAAGGACATTTAACTATTATTCCATTTACAATCCTTACCAGGATTGTTAGCGTAGAGCTCTAATAACTTACACAAAGACTGAATCTCCCCTCTAGCCAAGTTAGCACTACTGTGCAAGTGAGAAAAAAAATTTCCTTTCTCAAGTCTCTTCACTTTCGTCTGTCAGAAAATTGACGTAATATATTGATTTTGTTAGAACAAGGAACTTTACTGACATTTGGTAAAAAAAAAACAACAAAAAAAACCCGTCATAATAAACAAATCTATGACGTGAAAGAATATCACCCTCAGCATATAATGCTGTTGTATACTACAAACTGCAAAACCTGTATATGATAGCTCTGTCCTGACTACTCTCAACAGTGGAGATGACCACTCTACCAAACTTTATAAAGTTCCCTTACTGAAATACTATAAACTATCCAGGTGGAGTCTTGGGTCACAAACAGGTATTTAAATTCAAACAGTTTATATTTAGCATTTATAATGTCAGTGAGATAGTTAACAAGTACATACAAGAGAAAGTATTTAAGGGAAATGACAACCAACTCCAGTTTTTAAGAATAAAAAATTCTTATTTTTAAACTTATTTTTCAAAGTTAAAAATAAACCCAGAAATGTTTTCTCAGAAATTAGTGTTACCACCATTCTATTCAATAACGAAGTACTGATATCTATTTTACAAAACATTCTCATAATATTTTCTTACAAAAGATACTTCCTTAGATACCAAATTAACGTTACAATTCTTGTATATTCAAATTCTCCGAGAGAAAGACTGTCAAGCTTTCTTCAATTGCCCAATTAACACTTAAAGGCTAAACTAACCAAAAGAATAAAGCAAGGGAAAAGTTTTAGCTAAGATATTTGGTACCCTATCTTATTCTCTGGTACAGGCTGAAGGAGATTGTTCTTCACAATTCATTTTAGATAGATTTGACAGATTTTAAGAATGTATTCTTCTCCTGTTTATTTTGGACTATGCCATTTGCTTTCATATAATTTGAATCATGCAAGAGTGACCCTATACCTTGATTTGCCTGAGACAGTTCTGATGTACGGCTGTTGGTCCAACATCATTATTGATAGTGCCCCCTTTCCATTTCAAAAGGGTCCCACTCCTTATACTCTTAATTACTACCCATTCTTATTAATAAACCATTTTCAATTCTGTAAGCTGAACTTTGGACTCAATATCCATAGCTTAGAAATAACTCAGATGAAAAGCAAAAGGTTAATTATACCAATTATCACAGAAAAACTAGATAAATTACGATGTTTATCCGTTTTAAATGAGTCAGACTGTATAGTGAGATAAATTAGAAATTTACAACTACATTTTTTGGAGCTCATTCTAATTGTATCATTTACCTTTTAATATAAGGTTTTAATTTCCCCTTCCTGTATCATCTACTATTTCCATTTGTTATCCATCAAGTTCATAAATTATTTAGCATCTCTTCTTTCTGTATGAAATAATCATCTGGAATTTTAAAAGTATTCAACTCCTATAAAAGGACTGTTTGACATTACCATTGGCATTTTGCTGCTACACA